CAATCGCTAGATCTCTTGCTCTTCTTCTATACCTTCCTCTCTTTCCTCCCTCTTTCGCTTGCCCCTTCTTTCTCTCTTTCTTTCCTATCCCATTCTTATTCTCTCCTTCTTTTTTAATTTCTCTCGCTCTCCATCTCTCTCTCCTCTACTTTCATTAATCCGGTTTTTGGTACGAAGTCACTGCCGATAATATATGTCACTTAGAAGGTTTTAAACCGTCTTGAATCTAAAGTAGATCTCCTTGTGAGAAGATGATGCTTGTGGCTTAAAGGATGATGGAGCTGTAACCGTTACTTGTTTTTTCTTCTCTTTCTTCTTCAATAGCGTGTTTTTTTCTCTCTCTCACTCTCTCTCTTCCTCTTTTTACTCACTGTCTCCGTCACTGTATTTCATTTCTTTTACTTTTCTATATAGTCTTGACGCTCCTTGTGCTTCTATATTCCTTCTCTTTTCCCCTTTGCTGTTCGTCTTTCTCTCTCCTTCCTCTTTCTTTCCCCCTCTTTCTTACTCCATCTTCCCTGCTCCCTCCCCTCTCTCTCTCTCTCTCTCTCTCTCTCTCTCTCTCTCTCTCTCTCTCTCTCTCTCTCTCTCTCTCTCTCTCTCTCTCTCTCTCTCTCCTATTCACTCCTCTCTCTTTTTCTTTCTTTTCTTCACCAACCCTTCTTTCTGCTCCCTCCCTCCCATCTCCTTCCTTTTTCCTGCATTCCTCCTTCTTTGCCCCTCTCTTCCTTGCTCTTTCTCTTTCTTTTATCCCTCTTTCTTATTCTTTCCTTTTATAATACGATCATCAAGCAAGCGCAACCAACCTATGTCTATCCTCTTATAAACACACTTTACCAATATTCTCCTCTACAACTGTAAACAATGCTCTGGAATGTCCATTTTAGACAAACTTAATCACGCGTTTGATAAGAAACGGGCAAATTACCCTGTAAAACGCACCAGGCCAGTTTTTGTTACAGAGTTTCACCAATTAAAAAAAAAAGAAAAAAAGAAAAGAAAAAAAGACATGCTGTCCGCGCACTGGATAGGTTTCGCACACTGCTGACTTTCGCCGCCTGTCTCATGCCTTAAAATGCGATTGTTGTGAGTGTACTTCCCGAGTCCCATTATTTTTATGGGGAACCTTGAACCTCCTTTATTAATGGCTTATCATTTTGTGGTGATCATAACGATCCCTGCTGCAAAAGCTTTTGTCATGTAGGATTTACTTTCACCATATCTCTCTCTCTCTCTCTCTCTCTCTCTCTCGCTCTTGGTGGTGACACTATACCCAGGAGGTATTATTAGCACTTCATTATTTTCTAATCCTCTGCCTTCAGCGTCATTGTAATCACTATCACGCTTTGTTGGGCAATAACAGCTATCACCAGTCTAGTAACCTCGTGTCATTATGATCACCAAGAACAATTATTATTTGCATTACAGTGGCTATTAGCATCATTAAGCGTTCATTACGGTAATTATAATTACGGTGTTATTATCTCCGTCGCAATTACTGCTTGAAGTTTCCTCTGCAATATACAATATAACATTAATAACACCTAATTTGCTCTCACCATAGGTACAATAACAACCATTACCATATATTCATTATCAATGCACAATCATAATCATAACTAACTGCTCTCACCATAACTACAATTCCAAATGCCACTATATATAACATTTCTTCCGTAGCGAACATACTCAGCGTTTAAGTAGGTCTCACCATAATGGCAGCACCATCCATGAACATACACACCATACATTCACAATCATGATAGACACCTAAAATTACATTATCACATCCCTAACACTCTTTCTAGCTCCCACCATAACCGCAATACCAGCCGCCACCATACACACCACACCCTCACCATCACCACAGCGTTAACCCCCTAAATTACAGCATAAAACCCTTCCTATCACCGCAGCACTCGCCGCCGCCCATAAAACAGCATCCCACAGCCCACAGTGACAGCGTTGCCATATCAGCGGGCGCAGGACCAATACAATCATTATTTCCTCATTAAAACGATCCCGAGTGAATCTACAATTATCAGGATTTTACGATTTGTTCTTCGTAATTAGTGTCTCACAAGCATTATTCTACAAAACTCCTCCCCTTCCCCGTCATTATTATCACAAGAATGCGGCAGCTCTCGTAGAAGAAAGTTCCTTTTTTTCTCTCTCTTTTTTTTCTCTCCTCTTCCTTTTTTTTCTTCTCTCTATCTAATCCTGGGCGTGTATACCCCGCGGCCGAGAGGGGCACACGAGAGGGGCGGGACGGCTCGCAGAAGCGGACGGGGCCGGATACGGGGAGCCCAGAGAAGGCCCCAGTGTCATCGGATGCCCTGTCATTATCGGGAAGATGTGATAGCAATATTTGTCGCTCCCGATGGCTATGTATCAGCCCCGGCGACTGTGATATAGTCTGTGCTTGTTGGTGAATGATGTCGCTGGTTGTAGAACAGTCTTGGTGAGATTGTTTGTCTTGCCGTTGTCTGTGGTTGCCGAT